CTTCAGAGGCGGCGGCATCGGCCGACTTTGTTGCCGTCACCACGCCCGTCGCGGAGTCCACCTGGGCGTCGACGAAGCCAGCGATGGTGAGCTCGGCGCGCACCTTGTTGGCCGCCATCTCGTCGAGGAGCTCTGCCGACTCGACGACAATCTTGCCCTGTGGCCGCAGGGCGTCGTGGAGCGCCGACAGCAGCTGGGGGGACGAGGCGTCCGAGTACGGCACGACGAGGTGGGCGAGCGGGTAGGTGGCGGGGGGGAGCGTCGTGGCTGCGGCGGGGGTTGCAGGAGAAGAGGAGAAAGAGGCGAAGGGGAGAAGAAGCGAAGGGGAGAAGAAGCGAAGGGGAAGAGAGATCGTGCGATCGTCAGTGTTTGCAAAGAGCGAAGAGCAGGACGAAGAGAAAGGAGAAGGCCCTCTGCTCACCTCCATCAGTCAGGCGGTCGACCATGTGCATCTCGACCTGCCGCTGTCCGCCCTGGCCGCAGTGCTCGACCGTCTTCTGGTATGCGCCGCTCTGTGCTGCCGACATGGAGCCGATGACGAGCACGCTTCCGGAAGCGTCGACGTTGGTGGCCGACACGCTGCCGGCCGACGTGTGCGGCACGGGCCCGGCGGTCGAGTCGACTGCGATGGGCGGCATGGCGGTGGACGTGGTGTGGCTGGGGGTGCGAGTCGAGGCTCAGTCGAGATGTATGCTGGTCGTTGCGACGATGACGAGGCGGGATCAGCGATGTGCTGGTGTCGGTGCTGCGGTGCGGTCGATACGAGTTGATGCAGAGGTGTGCGGGTATGCGAGAGAGTAGTGCGCGAGAGTGATGGTGGTGGTGGTGACGAGGTGAGACGTTGGTGGCCGCGGTTGGTGCGAGTAGGCTGCTGGCGAAGGTTATCTCCGTCATTTCTTGATCAGATAAACTGCGCCAGCCTGACGCGCAGCTGGCGGGGCCAGGTGGGGCGGGGCCGTGGCGGGGGTGGTGGCAAATTCCCTCGGGGCGGCCCCAGCGGCAGGCCAACCAACCCGACGCCCGAGCACGACGCACCCATTTGTCAGGCCACGCCCGGCCACGCTGAGCCAGAAAGCGGGGCCGAGTCACCTTTCAACGCGGCCCAGCGAGGCAGCCATCTCATTCGGCCGACATGCCAAAGATAAGAGGACCGAAGTCGGATCCGAAATTTGACGGATCCGTGGCATCTCCCGATCTGTCAGCGAGATTTTTGACAGCCCGACAGCCCGATGGAAAATGCAATCGGCCGGCAGCCGGCTGTCAGGTCGCAGAGAGCCCGGAGCCGAGCTGTCAGCGTGGGGCAGGCGGCAGCTTTCGAAGAAGCAAGCGCGGCGAGGCCCTCGGTCGGTGGCCGGCCAATTTCGACCCCGAGCGGCGCATCACCCGCGTCGCCGTCGACGGCGGTCATGCCGGTAGGTGGCAGGCCCGCTCCCCGTGCGACACCGGTCTCGGAAAGACGGCCGGGCAGGCAGCTCAATCTGACTTCATGCGCCTCGGAGGAATTCTGCAGCCGGCTGCTTTCCTGTCCGTCGAGCGCAAATAGGCAAACCGCCAGCCAGGGGAGGGGGGGGGGGGGGGAGTCAAGAAGTTTCGACCAGCCTGCTCCTGCTTTGCTTGGCCCTTTTCTGATTTGGCCTTGGCCTGCGCCGCCCGCGGAGCAGACCGGAGCGGCAGCACCGCGTGAGGTCCAGCCAGGTACCGGTAGCCAAGGACGAGCTTGGCTGGGCGATGGAGGAGGAGGGGAAAAGAAGAAAGGTGGGTTGGGCCGTGGCTTTGGCGCGAGTGCAACGGCAGGCGGCAGCCAGAGGCATGCAGGCCAGGCAGGGTCGTACCAAACCGGCGGGTAGGCCGAGGCTAATCCTCCGGCAGGCCCACCTTGATGCTCATGGACGCCGGCGACGCCGAGCAGGGACGAGGTGCCCAGACAAGGGCGCTCTCGCCACCAACGCGCGTCGCTCTTGGACGTGGGCATCATGCAGGGGGCAGCTCACGCAGCGCAGGCGATGGAAACCCAGCCAGGCCCTCCCACCCGGCCGCCGCTCCGCTCGTCGGCGGCTCACTCTTTCTCGAAGAAGAAAAATAAATTTCGCTCAATCAAGACGCCGCCCCCGCCGACGCCGCCCGCCCGACGTGGCCGCTCCATCGTCGGGATTGGCCGACGACGCTGGTCGCTCTGCGGGCCATGTCGCCGGTGGCGCACACAGATGATGCGTCGCAGCATTGACAGGAACAGAGGCAGAACAAGCAGCGACCGAACAGCCAGCCAATCAGCCGACAACAACCACCCGCATCGCAGCGCAAACCCGCGCCACCCGCAGCGTACCCCGCGACCTTGGTTTGCCACGGATGGTCTCCACCCCAGCTTATGGCGGGGCACCCGTGGGGCCCATCTTACCGTAGCCTGTCGCTCGGCCATGGGGCTAGCCACCCGACATGAAATTGCTCTCTGCCTATCGCTTGTCCCCGCTCGCAAACTCGACTTCAACCTCAGCCGCTCGCTGCTCTCTCGTTCCGTGTCTTCCCTATCCAATCCTGGAGCAATCCAGTGCAGGACTTGCTTGGCGCCACGCCATTCGCCACGCGCGGGGAGCCCCACGCATGGCGTTTGCACAAGGGTCTTTGTGTCGTCTCGCCAGATCGCGCCAAAAAGTTTACAGGCCGGGGATGTCGTGTCGCATCGACGATGGGGTGCAGCCAACACTCGTCCTTCTCTGGGCCTGGTTAGGCACACTTACAGCAGGCGCAGGCAGGAGGGCTACGTACGCAGCCGCATCAATCAACGGCACTACCGTAGCTCGCCAATGCAGACCGCGCCCGCCGCGTGTTCCCCACCCACGCATGGCCTGCCTCGACCGACACGGGCGACGAAGAGGAGCGCGCCCTTGCTCTCGTCGAGGCGCAAGGGTATAAGACCGTCCTTCCTGTCTGGCCCTATCATCCGCCCCGCACCCCAGACCACTTCGACCTTTCTCCCCTACCGCTTCGACTCGTCTCCCTCTCTTTCCGCCCTCCCTTCCTTACCCACCATCCGCCACCATGGCCCCAACGGAGCCAACGACGTCCCCCGGGACGGCCGCCGAGGCTCTGCCTACCCCCGAGCGCCCCCTCGACAGTCAGACCCCCGACGACGTCACCGTCGACGGTGACGACAAGGAGAAGACCGAATTTGACATTAACGCATCAACGGAGCCCCACATGACTACCGCCAAGCTCAACAAGGCGCTCGGAGACGTCGACACCGAGTCGCCAGAATACAAAGAGCGCGAGCGCCGCCTGGTCCGAAGAATCGACATCCAGCTGATGTTGATACTGGTTCTTATCTACATTTTGAACTACCTCGGTGAGCCCCGGTACTAGCAGCGTATGGACGCTTTCTTCGGCTCGAATTATTTGCTCACTCTTCTATACATGCTCGCGAATCCGTTCCCCCGGCGACAGACCGCAACAACATCACGACGGCCAAGGACAACGGCTTCGTCCGGGACCTCAACCTGACGAGCACCGAGTACGCCACGGGCCTGTCGCTGCTCTACGTGGGCTACATCACGCTCCAGATCCCCTCCAACATCCTCATGACCAAGATCGGCCGCCCCTCGATCTACATCCCCTGCTGCGTCGCCGCCTGGGGCATCGTCTCGGCGTGCACCGCCGCTTGCAAGACGTTCCACCACCTCATCGCCGTCCGCATCATCCTCGGCATGGTCGAGGCCTGCTTCTTCCCGGGCGCCCTCCTCCTCCTCTCGTGCTGGTACAAGAAGTCCGAACTCGCAACCCGATCCGCCATCCTCTTCAGCGGCTCCATCCTCTCCAACGCCTTCTCCGGCCTCATCTCCGCAGGCATCCTCAACAACATGGACGGCAAGGCAGGCCTTCCTGCGTGGAAATGGTTGTTTTTGATCGAGGGAGCGATCACGGTTGCCGTTGCGATTGCAGCGCTCTTCATTCTCCCAGACTTCCCGCACAACTCGCGCTTCTTGAGCATGGAGGATCGCGAATTTTTGGTGCGCCGGATGGCGCTCGACGCGGGCGAGTCGGACGTTCCCGGCGAGAGTGGAGGTGCCATCGACGGTCTGATCCTCTGCTTCAAGGACGTCAAGGTCTGGGTGCTCGCCTTCATGCTCACCACGGCCACCATCGGCCTCGGGTTCAACCAGTACATGCCGACCCTGACGCGTACCCTCTTTGACGAGAAGGTCAAGTCGCTCCTCATCACGGTGCCCATCTGGTTCTTCTCGTTCCTCATCTGCCTCTTCAACGGCATCCACTCGGACCGCACTCGCGAGCGCACCTGGCACATTATTGTCCCTCTGGTGAGTTTTCGCCCGTCGAAGCCTCGTAGCAACATCGTGGCCTTCGAGCATGGCTCTGACCCGTCCAACGCCTCTTTCGTCCTTGCTTGCCCGCCCGGCAGAGCGTCGGCATCCTCGGCTTCATCATCTCGGCCGCCACGCTCAACACGGGTGCGCGCTTCTTTGCCCTCTTCATCGAGGCGAGCTCGTACGCCGGCTACACGTGCATCCTCGGCTGGATCGCGCCCTCGATCCCGCGCCCCTCGTACAAGCGCGCCATCTCGCTGGCCTTCATCAACGCCTTTTCGCAGCTGGGCAACATCTCGGCCTCGTATGTCTGGCCCGCCAAGTGGAAGCCCAGCTTCTGGCAGTCCAACGTCATCTCCCTCACCATGTTTGTCGCGTGCATCATGCTCGTCGTGCTGCACCGCACCATGCTCCAGAGGGAGAACAAGAAGCTCGACAAGGCCCGCGGCGTCGTCGGCACCCCCATCGGCGGCAAGTCGACGGGCGAGGGCGCACAGTACCCGTCCATGGTCGTCGACGAGGACGACATCCAGGGCCTCGCTGCCCAGCAGAATATCTCGCTCCAGCAGGCCATGATGGCCCGTGCCAACTTCAGGTACATGCTCTGAGCGCCGCCCCTTCTGTACGGATTTCGCAACGACGTTTAATGATAGATTCTCTTGTTTACGCATGACGACCTGCCCTGCCGCGTCTGCTGTATGGGCAGGGGGGGGCGCGTGGAAGGTCGACGAGAGACGGTCGGTGTGCACGGGGCTTGTCGAGGGACGGGACGCGCAGGGGAGAGAGTCGAGCCACGCTCCTTGAAAGCATGTGGCAGCATCGTTGGGTTCTGCGGTCTGATCTGGAGCTTCCATTCTCACTCAATCTTCGGTGGTGATCGTGCTGATCCACGGAGTGGCATGGAAAGCTTTCGTGGTCGTGTCCCCCCGAGTGCGCAGAAACTTCGCTACATCGCGATGGGACGCGTGTCGATTGTCTTTCCCTGTTGCACGCCCTGTTGACGAAGAAGACCATCTTGAGGCTATGCAAGTACCTTCGCAGGGCGGATCATGGCCCGGCCGGAGTGTCGCTCGTCTTTCGCCTCCCTGAATCACATCCGATCCTGCCGATGAGGTGGTGTCACCTCTCGCGTGGTCGCAGCCTCAAGCTCTCTATATGAACCTGCGCCACAACGTTTTGACGAGCCGGGTTGACCCGCCAGCTTGCGCCACACCGGCGCAGGCACAAGGCGGGGCGGCCAGCCCATGCACCGCCTCGCAGCCCCGGTGTCGTCCCCGCCGCACCGTCTTCGCTCCTTTAAGATGATCAGGCAAAGGGAACAGATCGTAGCAGCGTATATGAACGAACACCTCAAAGCTCCCATCATCCTCTTCGCGATACTCGGCCTCCAAGCTCTCCTGCAAAGCGAATCCTGTCCATCGGTCGCACCGAACTCATCACATCCCGCACTTCAACGCCTACCATGCTGGTCGGGCGTCTACGACGCCGCTCGGCCATCATCGCCATCGCCGCTCTCTTCGCCTCTTACCTCCTGCACCTGGCAGCTGCGGCACCTGCCTCAGGGTGGGGATTCGACGAGCTCAGCCGGATTTTCCAGCACGAACCGCCCGTCCAAGAAGCTTCAGACGTCTCTCCCAGCCTGGTCCACCCTGTTCCTTCGCCTTACCATGTTCAGGAGCCTCAGCAGCGAAACCCGACTCACGCCGATACCTGGCAGCATCTCCTTGCTACCGGCCAATGGCACGACGCTCCTCCGTTGCCGATCTCTCACCAATCCGGCTCCCACCAGCCCCTGCCTCGTCACAGCTTGGCGGTCGACGCCTTGCAGCACCCGCACGAATCCTACACCTGGCCAGACTCGACCGGGCTTTTTGCCCGACCGCATCCGAGCCACGAAGAATCGGTCGCCCTCGATCATCCCGCTGCCCGGGTCGCTCACGGCTGGGACACGTTGGCCCCTCCTCGGCATCCCCAGCCTGCTCCACCTTCAAGCCATTTCGCTCAGCTCGATGCGGGTCTGCCCGAATACGGCCACGACCAGGACCAGTCCTGGCACCCGGCGGCTTTCTCGGTCGATCGTCACGGCTGGTATTCGTTGCAGCCCGGTCCGTCGTACAGCCATCAAGGCCACGCCGAGCCCGAGGCCGGCGCGTTTGACGAGCTTGCCCCGCTCTTGAACCAGGCGCCTCGACACTCGGTCCAGGATGCAGGCGACCAAGGCGCTTTGCGACACGCGCCGCGTCTGCCGTCGCCAGAATCGTCGTCGGAGGATACCACGCAGCTCTCAGTCGCAGCGAGCTCTGGCACCATCACGCCGGAACGAGAGACGTCAATCCTGCGAAAGGGCAGAGAGCTTCTGCAACCAGTCAGACTCGTAAGCTTGGTCGTGGACGAGCGTAGGCGGTACGCCTTTGTCGCGGACGATGCCCTTCTCGAATGGCTGCAGGAGGTCCTCGAGATGCGACGGGGCCTCCTGAGTGGCAAGGCCGCCGAGGTGTGGAGCGAGCTGACGATCAAGGTGCGGCCGAGATCGTCGGACGAAAAGGCCAGCCTCCAATCTGCTCGAATGGCACTGATGGAGTTCAAGGTCAAAAGGGCCGAGTCGTCGTCGTCGTCGTCTCCCGGGCCATTCACGGCGGTCACGACGCCGCTCGATGACTTTGCGATCGGCGACTGGCGTATCCACGGCCGCAAGCGCGGGACCAACCAGTATGGCATGGACATGGCCCGGCCCGGGGTGTACACATTCTTTGCCTTCCACCTCGACCCGGACCTCGCGGTCGCGCTGGGAGAGGTCAAGGTCTCGTCTGCTGTGGCGGATAGGCTGGCAGCCGGCGCGCAGACGCGTCCGGTGCCGCAAAGAGCACCACAAGTGGTATGTCCTCAACCCGAGCCTGCCGGTATCGCTGAAAGCCGGGCAGGTCCTTCGGATAGGCGGTCATCGAGTCGTGGCTGACCCGAGTACGTCGTCTTTAACCTGTATGTGCCCCATCACCAGGCGCCGATCGACTGGCGATTATCGAGCAAAGCCGCAATGCCGCCGCAACCAGATCTGCACTGGCTCGAAAACGAGGGGGCGAGGGCGCTCGACACGGGCAGGCTCCGGAGGGCCGAAGCCAACCGCTTGAAAAGAAGACCATGCCTGATCGGCGACGACGAGGCGCGCGAGTGGCTGCAGAGCGTCTACCAGGCGCGACGCCGGTTCGTGGTGCCCGAGGAAGCGGGGCGGTGGCGCCTGCTCCGGTTCCGCGTCTACGCCGACGACATGCTGGGCGTCAGCGGGCCGAGGATCTACAAGAACTTCCGCGCCAACAAGGAGCGACAGGCGCGGTATGCGACCACCGCCGGGCCCTTTGGACACGCGCTCCAGACGCCGCTCGACGACTTCTCCGTCGCCGGCTACCAGATCCGCATCCGCGCACCCGGCACGGCGTCGTACAGCACCAAGGGCGCGCTGGCGGGCGTCTACACCGTCCTCGCCACGCCCAACGACGACCTCGACAGGGGCACCTACATCGTCATCGGCAAGATCGAGGTCGAAGAGGTCCCCGGCTTGCCTCGTAGCGTGCGACCGGGTCTCCGCGTCTGGAGGCCGTCGCTCCCGGGCGAGGAAGGAGGCGAATTTGCAGGACCCTCGGCCAGCCCAAGCCATCCTCTGCCGCAGCTCGCTCCGGGCCCTGATTCAGGGTACGAGTGACGGATGCCGTCTGTTGGATCGTGGTTGCGCTCGGCGTGGGACGCTCTTCGTTCAGAGAGCCGGCCTAGGACGTTTCGACTCCTTCATAAACCCTCGTCCGCCTCTTCGTCCTTGTCCTGCCCATCAGCTCCCACCGCAGCCTTGACGCCGCCGCCGGCATCCTTCGCCTCCTCACCACCATCGCTACCCCTCCGCCCGTTACCCCACCACCCTTCTTTGCCCCCCTCACCGCCCTTGAACCCCGTTGGCGACCCCGAACCCGACCGATTTGTGTCCCAGATCCTGTCCGAGCTTCGCAGCCCGACGCGGGACAGCGACATGCCCAGCCCCTTGTTGCCTATTCCCATACCGAGCCCGACGTACGGCGAGGAGGAAGACGACGACGCCGACGTCGAGGAGGGCGCTGGGCTCGAGTGCGTCCGCGACGGCATGATGCGTCCGTTGATCTTGACTTCGGGGACGGGCGGTGGCGTGCCTAGCCTCGTCGACGCCGAGACCGACGCTGCTCGCTGCGGCGTGCTCCCCACCATCGAGGGCCGAGAAGAGAGCTTCGGCGTCGTCTCGTCGTCCTCTTCCTCGTCCTCGTCCTCCTCGACTGTAGCATCGAGGACGGTGGGAGCGCTCGAGCTGCGATTCATGGCGTGCGGCGGAGCCGACGGGACCGAGAGCGGGCCATCCTTGCCGCCGCCCGAACCACGGGCGACGGGCGATCCGCGCTCCCTCTCCTCGTCCCTCTTGCGATCTTCCTCGAGGATGCGCGCACCACGTACGGCCGTCTCGAGCGCGTGACCCGTGTCGTCGATGCTCTTGAGGAAGCGCAGCAGGTCCCGGCACAGGCCCCACTCCTCCATCTTGACCGACACCTTGAGCAGTCGGACGGTGTGCGCGATGCTCTCCTCGAGGGGCTCGAGATTGTGCAGCACCAGCAGGTACATGCCGGCCGTGCGGTACTCGCCGGCCCGGAGGCACTTTTCAAACAGGTCGCGGGGCTTGCCCACGACGTCGAAGAGGTAGCCCCACCGCGCCACCTCGGTCTTGCGCGCGCAGCCGACGACGACGCCGAGGGCCTCGTCAAAGTGGTCCAAGAACTCGACGACCAGCGGCAGGATCGCCTTGATCCTGGGCTTGCGGATCCTCTGCGGCTGTGCCGCGTTCGAAGGATCGCTGCTGGAGCGGCGGGGAGGCGTGTGCGGGCCCGCCTCGGATGCGCTGCCGCCCTCGTCTGCGCCGCTGTCTGCCTGTCTGCCCTGCTCGCCCTCCTCGAACGACTCGTCTTCGACGTCGGCGAGCAGGCTCGACGCACTCCGCTCCCGCTGGAGCATCGCACCGGACGCGCTTCGGAGGTACTCGACGTCGCCGAGCCCGGCATCCGCCTCGTCCTCGAGCACGGCATGCAGCAGGATCTCGAGCGCGTGGGCAAAGTAGACGAGCGACTGGTAGTACGACGCAAAGAAGACGGCCTCGTCGAGCTGGCCGTTTTCGAGGTAGTTGCGCAGCACCTGGTGGAGGAAGAGATGGGTGTTGGTGTTGGTGCGGAAGATGGCAAAGTCGAGGGATCGGCGCAGCGACACCTCGCACTCGACGCCGATGACGATGCCCTTTTCGAGCAGCACGCAGAGCGGGTAGAAGTCGAGAGGCATGCTGACGCTCTCCTCGATGGTCTTGTACTCGTGCGCGCCCTCGATGTCAGAGCTATCGTCGTCGTCCATGTCGAAGGTCTCGATGGTGAGCGCATCGAGCCACAGCTTGATCCCCGTGCCGTCATAGCCCCACAGCGAGTTTTCGAGCGTGCCGATCCCCTGCAGGTGCGTCCAGTAGTATTCAATCTTGTCGGCGAGGATCTGCATGTCGTACGCCACCTCGTCCTCGCCATCGGCCGACCGACGTGGGCGCAGCAGCACCAGCTTGCCGTCGATCAGGAAAATGATGGTCGCCACCGTCAGGTCGTCGACCGGGTCGCCGAACCGCTGCTGGCTCGGCGGGATCATCCAGCTCATCCCGCGCACGCGTGCCGGCTCGCCGACGACGCCTTCGAACGTGATGCTGCCGCACAGCCGTAGCCGGATGCGGTCGTCGGCGAGGTCGATGAGGAAGTGGTAGAAGGTGTTGTCGGCGGTGTAGACGAGCAAGCTGTTGTCGAACAGGCTGGTCAGGATGACGGGGCTCGGCAGCACCTGGAGATCGAGCAGGTGGGACGAGTCGAGATCCAAGTCGCGCGAGTAGAGCCGCAGCTGGTATTCGCCGCCCGCATCGCACGCGACGATCAGCACGTGCTGGAACCACTGCATGCCTCCGCGCACCACGAAGGACTGTTCCTGAGCGATCGACTTGTGCGTCTTCCATCGACCCGAAGCGGAGCTGAAGTGGGCCAGTCCACGCCGGCCGGCGACGGCGATGAGCTTGCCATCGGAGCTGATCGACGCATAGCGGATCGGCCAGCTGGCCGCCAGGTAGGCCTGCGGGATCTTGACGTGGTGCCAGACGTCGCTCTCCGGGTCAATGACGCTGAGATCCGGCTGATCGCCGCCGCGATACACGTGGACGCTGTCGTCGGTCTGAAAGAAGGCGAAGCGGGTGTTGTCGGGCGAGTGCTGGCCGGCGACGGCCGACTTGGCGAACGGCAGGACAAACAGCTGGTTGTCGCAATCGAGCGGCTTGTCGGGCTTCGACTGGGCCAGCACGAAGAGGTCCGTGTTTCCGGGACCCCAGAAGAGGTCGCGAGCGCCAAACATGAACGAGTCGGAAAAGTGCTTCGACGCCGTCTCCCAGTCCTCGCGCAGGCTGCAGCCCATCAGCTTGCCGTAGGTGCTCCACACGCCCACGGCCTTGTCCCAGCCGACTGCGAGGGCGTACCCGTCGCTGGTCCAGCTCAGGGATCGCACGGCACCGGTCTGGAGATAGCTCGCCGTCGACTTGAGCGCCTGGCGCACCGACAGCGTGTGAGAAGGCGTCGGTGTCCGACCTGCAGCGCGATAGTTGTAGACAGCGATCGTGCCATCTTGCAGCCCCACAGCGATCAGGCTGAACCTGGCGTTGATCGAGACCGAGGTGCACCTCTGCTCCGCCGAAAGCGGGACGGGCGCCGCCTCAGCGTTCGCAGAGGCGCCGCCGGATTCGTCCTCGGTCCGCTTTCGAGGTGCATGAGAGCCTTCTTCGGATATCTCTGACCGCATGCTGTCGGCTCGAGACAGGTGGCCGCCGGCAGCTGCAGAGGACCGCCTCGTCCGCGGGCGTGCGCCGTGGAAGCACCGCCCCTGCCACGGCTTTGTCCGGCTGTCGAGGTCGAGGTTGGCCGCATAGGCGCGCCCGTCGGACGTGATCCAAACAAAGACGTCCATCGGCCTCGAGTAGTGGATCTGTTCGACATGTACGGCGGGGTATTTGTCGGTGTCGTCGCCTGTAGCGCTCGGCAGCATCCAATCGAGAGAGCTGATCAGGCTGGTGCTGCTCCCCGGCGAGTTGTCGCCGTCTCGGCGGGGCACGGCGTCGTTGGCGTCGTCGGGCCATCGGATGCACTGCACGGCCGGGGGAGAAACGGTGCTGACGAGCATGTGCGTCTCGATGGACGTGGCCCACCGGAGGCCAGCGTCGATGCGAATCACGAGGCGGAAGCGGAGCTCGCATGCCTCGCCGACCAGCCCGGCCAGTCCAAGGTCGCCAGCCGCAGCGCTCTCACCTGCGCCCGGCGCAAACGAGTTCTTGAGCGAGTTGGGTCCCGGGGCGAGCGGTTCGCCCGTCTTTGACTTTGTGCCGGAGCCCGATGGGGGTACGTAGCTGTATATGGCGGATGAAGGGTAGAGGTAGACGAGGCTGTAGAGGAGCAGGAACGACTTGTCGGTCTCTACGAGGAGGGCGCGTCCGTCGGGCCTCCACTCGATGCGTGTGTTGCTGCCGTACTCTTCGAGGCTGCGGGCGGTCCTGGTGAGGGCGGCCACGACCTGCGAGGGCCGGGTCTGCCAGATGGAGATGGTGTGGGCGTTGAGCGTGGCCCACATCTGGCCGTTTCTGGACCTTGCAAGGTGGACGAGGTGCTCGCTGCGAGGCCCCTCTGAAGGATCATCTTGGCTCGCGTGACCTGAGTCGTGCTTGCGATCGTGGCCAGGTGTCGTGTCTCGAAGGGGTCGGTCGAGGCCCGAGGGGGAGAGGTGGAGCCTCTTTGCCGACGACGTGGGCCAGTACATCTGGCGCTCCTTTCCGTCCGCCTTGACAGAGGGGGAAGAGTCGCAGAAGACGGGCGAAGGTTGAACGTGCCGATTGGGCCAGGAGTGAGGGGAAGAGGGATCCGAACAGAGGAGCCGAGGTCGAGGTCGACAGAAGAGGCAAGCAGGCCTTCGCAGCTGGCAACCTCTCTGTCGGCTTGGCTTGTGCGCGCCCCCCGCCGGCCATCTGGCAGGCCAGGGCCCCAGGCAGCCCTTCCTCGAGTGCCGACTTCCGGCAGCGAGGGATGGGGTCCATCTGCGCGCATCGGGCGGGGACCCTCCTCTGCCTCTGCCACTACCGCCCTGTCGATGCTCCACTTCGAGTCCAGCGCACCGGCGATTCACCACCATCGCCGCCACCGCCATCCATCGCACTACGACTTCTGCACTCGGCCCTGCCGCTTCCTGGCGCCCACGCTTCGACCACTGCAAGAGTAACGTTGCATCGCAATCGGCTGGCACCGACGCGGACCAGGCCGATCTCCGAGTCGCTGTCTTGGGACGACGACGCGCGCGGGTTGACCCGTCGGAACGTCCGCTCTCGTCCTTCCCTCGCCGCAGCCGCTCGTCCACCGCTGCCGCACAGCTTTTCGCAAGATCCCGGCAGCCTTTCGAGAGGCTTGTACCTGCCCTCTGCGATCTGACGGCCGTCCCACCACCACCACCACCTGCTCTTTGCCGCCCTTTCGCCCGACTCGTGGAGAAACTCGATGCACAGCGGCCAGACTTCCGTCGCGCCCTCGTCCTGATCTTCCGCCAGCCCGCCAGCACGGCAAGCGCAATTCGGATCACACCCGAAACAGGGCCCTCATACCAGCACGTCGAGCAGCTCGAGAGCCAACGAGAGCGGCCTATCTGTCCCCTCTTCCTCGCCACCGCCCGACGAGATGGCGTCCAACATCAGCGAGATACCCCTCCACGAGGAGAGCGAGGAGGACGTCGAAGACGAGGAGCAGCAGCACCGACCGCGCGCGGCTGTCCATCTACCTGGCCACCCGGATCGGGCAGCTTCCGATGACGGGCAGCCACCGGATGGCGGGTTGACCGATAGCGGGGAGGCGTCGAATCTGCCAAGGAAAAGGATAAGCTCAGTCTCGTTCGCCGAGGGCTCCTCTTCCCCTTCGGCCTCGCCCGAAGCTCGCAAGGTGCCCGCGGCGGGCGCGGGGACGCGGACGGGACCGCGGCCCGTTCCGCGTAGCAGCTCGTCGCTGCGCCACGTCCAGTCTCGCTCGCGCACCACGGGCTTCGGCGCACCCCTGCCCGAGGACCGCGACCCGAGTCAGCTCGCCATGCCAGCGGATCCGAGCGACAGCACCGTAGCCAGGCAGGTCGACTACCAGAGGCGAAAGGCCGCCCCTTATGCCAACGACGAGGGCTTCGACGAGTCAGACGGCGAGGACCCAGCCGACGACGACGGCGGTGGCCAGGTCGATCGCGACGACTACTTTTCTCGTGGGAGACTCAACGTCAAGAAGGACAAGGCGGACAAGGCAGCCGCGTCCAGCGCCCTCGACCATTACTCGAGCCTCGACGACCACACGGACGAGACCGACGACGACCACGACTTTCCAGACGCCTTTCGCCAGCAGCGCGCCACGGCACCACCGCAGGCTCCCGGCCGCGCGCAGCTCTCGGCGCCCGATGCTCACCGCGCGGCGAAATCGGCTCGGAGCCCAAACGGGCTGCTGCCGCCCGTCGATCCGGCCAGCGTCAGCACTCCGGGCCCTGTATTCCCGTGCGACCTCAACACGCCCATGGAGCTGACGCCCGGCGAGCTGCCCGCCGTCAACGTCCAGCAGCGCATGGAGTGGCAGACGATGCTCGCCTCGGTCCTCGACTCCGAGGTGCTCAAGTCCGAGACCAAGCGGATCAATTCGGTCGACACGCCCGACCTGACGCGCACCGAGCTCTCGTACCGCCGCTGGCTCGACATCCGCGCCACGCTGCGGGGCCGCGGCCTCCACCGCGGCGCCATCGAGGAGGAGGAGAAGCGCCTCAGCGAAGGGTGGGCCAAGATGCTGCGCGACCTCATCGACGAGATCAGGCAGTTTCGCCAGGAGCAGATCGAGGCCTCGAAGCTGCAGCCGGCGCCCAAGTCGCCCAGGGACGCCGTCAGCGCCGACTCGGACGCCGTGGCGAGCAGCAGCGAGGGCGCAGGCCACGACCCTGACTCGGCGAAACCGGGCGCGCCCACCGCCGATGCGGACAAGGACAAGGACAAGGTGCTGCACGACGTCGGCGCGCTACTGGAGCGGATCGACAGCGCAGAGGAGCAGTTCCCGTCGGTGCGCAAGGCCAAGGAGGTGGTGCCCGAGTGGGCCGACGAGGCGGTCCAAGCGAAGCTCGATGCCCTCATCAGCTGGTATACGACGACCACCAGCCTGCAGCAGCAGATCGGCATCCTCCGCAAGTGGACGGGCAGCGAGACGCTGGACATCTCGGAGCACCGCCAGCGCGCATCGGCCGCCGACGCCTCGACCGACGACGCCGCCGGCGACCACTCGGGCGACCACCACGACGCCGACAATGCGCCCGAGATTGACGACAGCACCTTTGTCGAGCGGATCCAGAAGGAGGGGAGCCTCCAGTCGACGTTCGAGACGCGCACCCTGTCGAGCCTGTACCAGCTCATCACCAAGGCCAAGGCCACCATCCTCGAGCACCACGAGGCGTTCCGCAGCATGGCTCTGCCGTCGTTCGAGCCGGAGCTCGTCACGCTGATCAACTTCCCGACGCGGCTGATGCAGGGCGCGCTCAGGCTGCGCCTCGACTACGCGGGCAAGCTGTCCGAGCCGAGCGTGCTCATCGTCGACTCGCTCACCGACGACGTGCGGACGGCGTTGGCGATGGCGTGCCGCGTCAAGATGCAGTACACCAAGATCATCGTCGCCGACCCGGCGCGGGGCTGGGACCTGACGCCGTGCATCGCCGAAGGCTACGACGAGGTGCTGCGCGACGCGCTCAAGTTCTTCTTCCGCCTGCTGCGGATGAAGCTGCGGGCGAGCACGTTTTTCAAGGAGACCGAGATCCTCGAGCCCGAGTGGCGCTTCCTCAGCACCGCCGTCGAGTCGATCGAGGGCGGAGATACGATCGTCGCCACCAACATCACCCAGTTCGTCAACAAGCTGTTCAAGCGGATCTCGCGCTACTTCAACCGCGAGCTCACGGCCACGTTCAGCAGCAAGGGCGAGGAGATGGCCAAGCGGATGCCGAACCCGGCGTCGGGCCCCGTCGGCCTCGCCTCGGGACCGGACGGATCCGGCGGCGGGCACGCTGCGGGCGCCGGTCTGGCCAAGGGCAAGAGCCTTGTGACGCTCGAGGACCGGGCGCGCTGGATCCACTCGGTGTTTGACAGCGTGCGCATCCGCAGCCGAAAGCTGCTGGGCTTCGCCAGGGACATCCGCAACCGCCTCGACAACGCCGCCGAGTACGACCTCGGCACGCTGCGACCCGCATCCGACAACGCCGCCGACGCCGCCGCTTCTTCTCCGTCGCACGACGAGTCGGAAGGGACGGCGCCCTCGAATGCCATGGGCCTGGCCGAATTCATGCAGACGCTCATCGACCACGACTACTTCCTGGTCTACACCGAGTCGCTCGAGGAGAAGGGAATCTACCTCATCGCCGAGCCGAGCCTGCAGGATAAGCCAGAGCTGATCCGCGAGATGCTCTGCAAGTGCCTTCACCGCGTGCGCCCCAGCGACGAAGACTCTGCCCTGGCAGCCGAGGCCAACGCGACCGCCAACGCCAACGTCCTCAACCCGGAGGGCGACGACCACGACGACGCGATCCAGATGTCCGGCTCGCGCGACAACATCGAGCAGGCCGGGTCCGTCACCGGCGACGACGACGAGCGGGCCCGCTACCTGCTGCTGCTCAGCCCGCGCGATCCGTTCATGTGGACGGGCAAGGTGATGCATCACGTCATGCCCAAAGTGGACATCTCGCTGGCCGACCGCAGATTGCGCCTCGTCGCCGACGGTCCCAAAGGGCGGCTCGAGCTGTGCAAGCGCCACTTCCAGGCCGTCTTCTCGTCTGAGCCGGCGGGCGGCCCCGCCGGTGGCAGCGTCGTCGTCAACGGCAAGGGCGACGACATCTCGGACGACGGCTCGACGTCGTTCCCGCTCGAGACGCTCAACGACCACATGGCCCACATGGGACGGATCCAGGCTGGCCTCGAGGAGATCAACAAGGGCGTCTACCTCCTTTCGGACACCATCATCCGAAAGGTGCCCGAGATCCGGCGGCGCCTCCGCGGGCTCAGCGCCAAGCAGAACCGCAACCAGACACCCAAGAGCACGACGACGGACAATGTCCAGGTCAGCGCGAGCGGCGACTGCGACGAGCTGATCCAGAACAGCTACAGCATGGCCGCCGAGCAGGGGCGGCGAGCGCTGCCGTTCATCGAGTCGGTGCGGCTGCGCAACCAGATGACGCTGGCGCTCGCGAGGCTGGCCATCGACTGGGTCGCCTTCATCTGCGACGACTGCGTGCCCAGCGAGCGTAAGACGTTCAAGTGGGCAGTCACGGCCCTGGGCAACGCCAACTACATCACGTCGTCCGAAAACATCTTCCGGATCACCCAGGCCGACTTTGCCCTGCTGCGGAGCAAGGTGGCCAGCTGCATGGCGCTCCTCATCTCGCACTTTGACATCCTCGGCGCGAGGAGCAGCGTGGCCAAGGCGCAGGCCGAGCAGGAGCGCCTCGAAAAGGAGCAGGCGGACCGCAAGCGGCTGGCGGCGTCCAACCAGGCCTTCAGCGACGACCTCCACCAGGTCCAGGTGTACGGCGCCGACCGGACGGGGCAGGCGCTGCTGCGGCTCGGGCCGGGCATCGGCGCGCAGCACCGGCTCAACAAGCTCGACACGGCGATGCAGGCGACCGAGGAGCGGTGGGTGCTCAAGGTGCGCGAGTGGGACCAGGCGCGGCAGGAGCTCGAGTCCGAGCAGCGCGTCATCGGCCGCGTCCTCGACGACACGCGGCTCGAGGACCGCAGCCTCCAGTTCCTCGCGCAGTCGGCTAGCAAGGTCACCATCCGCTGGCAGCAGGGCCAGTTTATCGGCGGCGGCACCTTTGGCACCGTCTACCTCGCCGTCAACCTCGACTCGGGAGGCCTCATGGCCGTCAAGGAGATCCGCTTCCAGGACATCTCGTCGACGCCGGGCCTCTACAAGCAGATCAAGGACGAGATGCACGTCATGTCGATGCTCAGCCACCCCAACATCGTCGAGTACTACGGCCTCGAGGTCCACCGCGACCGCGTCTACATCTTCGAGGAGTACTGCCAGGGCGGCAGCCTCGCGGCGCTCCTCGAGCACGGGCGCATCGAGGACGAGACCGTGATCCAGGTGTATACGCTGCAGATGCTCGACGGCCTCGTCTACCTGCACTCGAAGGGCATCGTCCACCGCGACATCAAGCCGGACAATATCCTCCTCGACCACATGGGCGTCATCAAGTTTGTCGACTTTGGCGCTGCCAAGGTGCTCGCCAAGAACTCGCGCACCATCCAGCGCAGCCGCCGGCCCGGCGTCGTCGGGCCCGGGGGCCTCGGGGGTGCCGGCATGATTGGGCCGGACGGCAAGCCCGTCGGCGCCGCGGCGGCCATGCAGAGCCTGCAGGGCACGCCCATGTACATGAGCCCCGAGGTCATCAAGGGCGAGAACCGAGGCCGGCGCGGCGCCATGGACATCTGGTCGCTCGGATGCGTCGTGCTCGAGTTTGCCACGGGCCGGAGGCCCTGGAGCCAGCTGGACAACGAGTGGGCCATCATGTTCCACATCGGCATGGCCCAGCAACATCCGCCGCTGCCCGACCCCAGCCAGCTCAGCGAGCTCGGCATCGACTTTATCCGCAGCTGCCTCGCCATCGACCCCTACGAGCGCCCCTCGGCGGCCGAGATGCGCGAGCATCCGTGGATCAAGAACTTTGTCGACGAGCTCAACGCCGCCAATGCAGCCGAGCGTGGGTACCCGGCGGGGCGGCCGAGGAGAAGGCGTCGATGATGGCACGCGACTGACCGACTCTCGCTCTCTCTCTTTTTGTCCCCTCTTTCTCGATCTTTGCTGGCCTCCCACAGTCGAGTCCGAGGCGGCCGGGACCGCCTTTGCCGATGGACAGAGCGAGGCCTCGTCGCACAGCTTCGCGCCCGTCAAGGCCACCAACGGAACCGCTGGCGTGGCCGCGGCGGCTGCGACTCCCGGCGTCCGGACGCTCAACAACCTCAATGCCGACCGCTCCGCGCTGTCGTCGCTGTCGTCGAGCATCTCTGATTTCTCCCGCTCGCGTCCGGACACGGGCTCAGCCGGAGCCGCGGCGACCTCGGCGGGCACGTCGATGTCGGTCCACAATGCTGCCTCGTTCCGGCGAGCGCAGCAGCAGCAGCACGAGCAGAAGCAGCACGCGGCCGGATCCTCGCCCTCTGCAGACGACGCGGCCGGCGACGATCTCATCGCGCACGAACATCCGATGTCGCCCGGATTCTACACCGACGACGAGGCGAGGAAGCCGAGCATGGAACGACTGAGCTCGGACCTGCAGGTCGACCTGGAGCAGCTTCCGCCGAGCGAGGCATTCGACGGCGAGGCCCTCGACCTCTCGCCGACGCCGGACCGGGCGGGACACCCGGACCACCGCCACCCGGGCTACCAGGCCCTGGTGGCCGACATGCAGTACCGCAAGGAGGAGAGGGAGATCAACGAGCTGCGCCAGGCCGACGCGGGCGGCGACGAGGACCTCGAGGGCGGCGAGTACGACGACGTGGCGGCGGCCGAGCTCGACGAGACTGACCTCGACCCTTACGTCGAGCCGCCGGAGGACGTCGAGTGAGGCGTGCGAGAGTCGGAGCCCAAACGTCGAATCGGCGTCGCATCATCCCCTGCTGCTGTGCCTGCCTGCCCGAGCAGGCCTTGTACCCCTAGACAGTATCCAACCAGCTGCAACGCTTTCGACCTCTGCAACCCTTCCTCGGTCGCCGCAGGACGCGCGAAAGCGGACAAACACGGTGGGCAAATCGGGGGCGTGACCCGTCTGACATCAAGAGGGCTCTATGCTGGGTGCGATGAAGGTGAGGCGAGGTCGTGAACGAGAAAAGGATGCTCGAAGGGTCGTCGCTGCGTCTGTGCCTCTAATCCTCCTCGTCGACTCCGCCAAAGACGGGCTGGTGGCCGCCCTCGTCGAGCGAGGCTCGGTCGACCCTGGGTCGGTTGACGGGCGAGTCGCGGCCGGTGTAGATGAAGAGGTCGTAGAGGGCAGCGCCGAGGGTGCCACCGGAGATGGAGGCGATCCAAGGTGCCCAGAGCCAGTAGAAGCCATCGTGGGTCCAGACGCGGCTGCCGTACCCGACGAGCCAGAGGGCGATCCTTGGCCCGGTATCGCGCGCGCCGTTGATGGCGTAGCCGGTGTCGAAGCCCAACGAGCTGCCGATGGCGAGCAGGACGAGGAAGACGGCGAAGGGCTGCGTGCCCTTGGGCGGCGCGAGGTTCGACTTGTCCGACAGCGCAAAGATGGCCATGACGAGCGTGGCGCTGGCGAGGAACTCGGAGTAGAAGGCCGAGTACCACGGCAGGTAGGGCGCGGGGAAGGTGAAGAAGAGGGGCGCGGTGGCGTGCGGCCCAACGACGGTGCGCGATGCCGAGCCGCCTTCAAAGAGCGAGATGCTGTGGAAGTAGTTGAAGTAGACGACCAGCGAGGCTGCCGTGGCGCCGAGGAGCTGCGAGAGGATGAACCAGGGCACTTTTCGGAGAGGGAAACCTCGGTAGAGGGATAGGCACAGCGTGACTGTCGGGTTGCAGTGCCCGCCGCTGATGCCGCCCGAGACCCAGGAGGCGATCGAGACGCCCGCGGCCCAGGCCAGTCGGCCCGAGAGGTAGGAGCCGAATGCACTCGAGGTGCGCACGCTCGAGGCGTAGTGCAGGTTGACCTGGCACTCGACGCCCGCGCCAAACAGGAGGATCATGAACGTGCCCCAGAACTCGCTGTGTCGGTCGACGGGATCGGGACGAGGGGGAGGCGGTCTCTGAATGTCAGATCGATAGCCTTTGCGCAAGCGATACGGCAGGCTGCCGGGATCGCTTCGCGACTTACGCAAACTCCTCTCTCCAGATGTATCGGAACTTGGCCCACTCGTTGGGCTCGCCGGTGAGGTAGTCCTTCCTCCACCACTTGGGCCTGTGCAGTCGAGTCTCCTGGTCGGGGTGTGGGGCCGAGGCGGGGAGGAGCGGCTCGACGTGGTTGGGGTCCGGGTGGACTTCGGCGTTGCTCAGGCTGTCGCTGCGGCTCGGACGGCGGTAGGAGTGCGAGGGACGTCGCACGCCGAGGTTGAACGAGGGTCGCGAGCGGGCGTGCGTCGAGGACGAGGAAGAGGGCGAACGGCCATCCCGGCCCGCCAGGAGCGGGTTCGTTTCAGACATGGTGCAGTGCAGGGCGGGGACGGTGGTGGTGGAAGGCAGGAGGGAGGCGAGGCGAAACGGGAAGAGGTCGACCTACCTCTTTATGTTCTTGGAGCCTGCCTGCCATCACAGGCTCGGTCGAAATGCGGCAACGACGCCCAAAGTGATATTACCGGAGCTTTCAGCCCCCGGAAATCCTCCGACCAGAGAGAGCGCTGCTCTGGCTCTACGCCTGCCAGGTTGGCCAAGCTGGCTTCATGCCGGCGACTTGGGTCGGGCCCTTGTTTCTGCAGGCGTGCGCCCATCGTGCAGTTCAGGGGCAGGCTGGTGTTGGTCTTGTTGGGCGCGCTGCTCCTTCTGTTGGTCTCGCGACCCAACCCTCGACCCTCTGCTCCGCCGGCCCCGGTCTCTTCATTGTCTGGCAAAGGCAACCCCCGCTATTGCGCCGCCCTCGCAAGCTCAAGCTTCGACCGTTTCACACTGCATGACCGCTAGGCAGTCAGATTGACACGATGACGCTGCGGCCCGAACAACAAAGCGGCTGAGCGGCTGAGACAGGAGTGACAATGATGGGACGGCTTGGAGTCGAGCGCGGTCGAAAGACAGAGAGAAAGAGAGAGAGAGAGAGAGAGAGAGAGAGAGAGAGAGAGAGAGAGAGAGAGAGAGAGAGTAGTACGTACGTAGGTACGGTACGGTACGGACGGACGGGAACGGGAAGGAACGGGAACGGACGGACGGACGGTCGTACGGTACGGACGGTACGGTACG